CATGTCAATTCCATAGACTTTTTGTTCAGGCTTTTGGTTTCTGTAAGCAGTTTCTCACTTTATCTTCTCTCATTTCTCTTTTGCACTCTTCTTCTTTTTAGTCATTGGCTCCTAGTCTTCTGTGCCTCAAATCGTAGCCTCTTCCTTAATAATGTTACCCATGTATAACTTGGGATGAGAAACCCAAAATCTATATTTTGTGTCAGATATTATGACACAAATAATAATTTTGCAACACCATAGTCCCCAAAGAATTATTTAATGAGGTTTCCCAACAATAAACTCCAAAGTCTAAAGAATAGTTATATTTAAATGAGTAACTGAGGAACAATGCATGGTAGCCATCTCATGAAAGCCACCTTTCCCTCTGAGGAATTGTTTTCTCTCAAGTCCTTTCGGAACTTTTATCTAAGGAGTTACTTTTCTTTCAAGTTCTCTGAGCATAGCTGCTTTTCTCTGTGAGTCAAATGAAATATTCTTCTGCCTCTTTCAACAAATAGAATGTCCACATAAGAAAGGTGCAACATGTGTATAAGACATTTGCATATCACTTTTGAAGTAACAGACATGTCATTTTTAACCTTTCCATGTCCCTTATGCCTAGTGCAATGCCTAGGTGCTTAATAAGCATTTATGGAATTATTTAATTGAATCTCTGTTGATGAAAGGAGACTCAGCAGACTTCTGTAAAGGATAGATCCTTAAAAATTTTGTAGCAAGAAAGGTGCCCTAGGTACTGCAAAGCTTTGTGAATATGCAAAGGAGCAAAGACACTATTGACCCTAAATGTCCCAGATCTCTTGTAATTTTGAATGTTGAGGTACAGTTTGTTGTATCTTCACATATTGTTTTAAAACCTTATACTCTGAATAATTTCTTTAATAAAGTCATGGTTTTTTATAGCAAAATTCCCTATCCTCTGCAACCATGACATTTGTTTTATGTGACTGAGTGTACTTTTGACTGACACTTACACTTTATATATAATTACACGTGCTTAAGATGGCATACTTTTTAAAGCAGGAGAAAGCTACCGAACTACCTGCATGCCTCTTTAACCTAGGAGCAGCAGCTAAATACTGAAGACCAAGGATGTTGGGGAACATGGTGGAAGTGATGAGGGTGGGGTTGCAGATGATAAAAGGGAACATGATTGTATGGCCTGAGAGTCAGGGACACAAATTAAGCATCCAAAACAGTAATCTAGAAGAAAGGCAATGGGATCCTGAACTAAGGCAAAGGGAAGCTGGAACCAAAAGGAGGATATGGAGTGATTCTATTACCCTGTGGTAATAGAAATGATAGGCCTTGGCAACTGGTCATGGAGGGTGAGGGGTAATAACCAAAGGTAGCTAAGGTTTTGAGCTTAGTCAGTCGAGAAAATAGTGGATCATCAATAGATGTAGAGAAGCCAGAAGCATGAATGCATATTGAGGATGAAGTGAGTATGGTCTTCTAGATGTTGTTAGAAGTAATGGGGGGACATCCAAGTGGAGTTTAGTGTACAGATGAAAATGCTGACCTGGAACTCAAGATAACCAGGAGAGCCAGACACAGGGAAATCTTTCAGAGGAAGCTGACAGTAGCATTCATGGGAATAGTAACCAAAGGAGAATTTGGAAAGGGAGAAGAAAAGAGTGCCAAAGACCGAGCTGTGAGGCTTAACATTGTAGATGAAGAGAAGTCAGTAAAGGTTCTGGGATTGGGATTGCACTCTGGGGAAGCAAAAACAGCAGGAGGCCCCTGAGAAAAACCATTAGCCTAAAAAAGGTGGATACAAATATGTGTAAATATAAAATATGTGTAATAATATGTATAAAGTATGTAGAGCAAGGATTCTTACCATGTTTTTGTATCCTGGACTGTGTTAGTAGTCTGGTAAAGCCTATGGATTCCTTCTCAGAATGTTTTTCTTTTTTTTTTTTTGGCAAGGCAGTTGGGGTTAAGTGACTTCCCAGGGTCACACAGCTAGTCAAGTGTCTGGTCCGAGACCGAATTTGAACTCAGGTTCTCCTGACTCCAAGGTCAGTGTTCTATCCACTGTGCCACCAAGCTGCTCCCACAGAATGTTTTTAAATGCACAAAATAAATACAAGGAATTACAAAGGAAATAATTTATATTGAAATAAAGATACAGCTTTTTTCCCCTAAGATCATGAAATACCTGAAACCTATCCACAGATCTTTTGGAGTAACCTATATTAAGAACCTCTGATATAAAGAGAGCCCAAAAGCTCTTCAAGAAATTGGTTGGGGGCAGCTAGGAGGCACAATCAATAGAGCACCAGGAGGACCTGAGTTCAAATGTGGCCTCAGACACTTGACGCTTAATAACTGTGTGACCCTAGGCAAGTCACTTAACTCGATTGCCTCACAAAAAAAAAGAAAGAAATTGATTGATTAAATATAACTTTGATTAAATAGAATTTAAATTAGAATAAAAAATGGATTAAATAGAACTGAAAACTGAGTCAATAGCTGAAGTAACAGGTGTGTGAACCAAGCATCTTAAATATGCTACAGGTTATGGAAAAAACTAATCATGAGTGTGTGTGTGTGTGTGTG